TCGTTGGATGGGGCAGTTGTAACAGGGGGTTTAGATGTTGTTCCTCCATCCGTTGGTGAAACTTGATTATTTTTAGCTTTTTCCTGTGAGTAAACAACGGAGAGAGCTATGATAGTCGCCAGGGCCCCTGCGCCCAAGATGATACCCACTACCCCAACACTTTTACTAATGAAGAAACCTTTCCCCATGTTGTTTGCCTGTACTGAAACCCCACACTAAGACAGGGCAAGGGTGGAGGGTGGACTTTTATATTCAGCCATAGGTAGCATCTCCCCTCCCATTCACTGTTACAGGTGATACATTAACAGTGAGATTGTAAACCTGGTGAAAACAACACCAGCTCAGTCACACTGACTTTTGACTATGATTTAACTGTACTTCTAACGCTTTGAAAATAAAAGCCTAGGACATAATGTAAACAAGGATAACCAAGGTTTTCAGAAGTTTATCAGAGGTAGAATTATTAGTTTTTCAAGAAGATCAGCTACGTGACTTTCTGCATTTTGTCACTGAGATATTTGAAATGTGCGCTTTTCAAACATAAGGATGACCGCTTTTGACATTTTGGGAAATACATTTATTAATTCTCTCACCAAGAGTTAGATGAGAAGATAGATACCAGCCTGATGTTTGTATGGTAAATATGTAGCTGGAGCCAGCAGCTGTTAGCTTGGCTTAGCATCAAGAGTGGAAATAGTCACTCTCTAGCACAATGTTTTGATTACAGCTGATTTAGTTCTAGTATGTGTTGAACATCATGATGCTGCTGAGGTAGATTTACCATGTCGCAAGGGCATTATAAAAGGTTTTTGAAGGAAAATTAAGCTGTGTAGCTGTGTAAGCTGTGTAACTTTGATGTTATGACTAGATTGCAAATACATTGTATATTACATTGGTTTAGCAAGAAAATAATTATTAAAATCCATCAATCTGTCTCTGAATTCTTGATTATGAACTCCAATATTGTTGAAATGAAATGGAAATACAGTTAGAATTCTAACTTTTATTCATTCATGTATTTTTTAACTTCTCTTGGCTTAAAATTGTCATATTTAAGGAGGTTATTCACAAATTTCAGTATCTGCCTTTGAAACACTATTTGTAAATTTAATCATAAAATGTAAACTATACTTCACATCCTCATATTCCCATATTTGTGTAATAATTAAACATTAAAAGGCTGTTGAATCTGGGCCAAAAAGAAGTTAAAAGCCAGATGATTTCTTTGAATTTCAAAACTGTATTTGCAAACTTTACCACTGCGCAATTTTTACTTCAGCAATATTTCTTCATGAATCTGTATTAAGTGAACGTTAAAATGTTAAAGAACAGCATTTCATTCATCAATATTTCTGACTAAGCAAATGATAATAATAGTGTTCCTATCATTCTTGGTAATCTCCAAATGGTTTACATCATGTTTCATTCTGTAGTTATAGTTTAACAGAGGGGCAGTTTACCATAATCCTACCACTTTATGAACATCATTATAGTCACGCAGCTGTAAAGTCATTAGAGGGGAGAGTAGGTATCACAGGTGAAATCCATTTGCAGCTCTTAACCCTTTCAGTTACCAAAGCTCTCTGTATCTAAATCAACCCCTCTGTCTTTGCACTTGGAAAGTGGAATAATTTTACAAATGTCTTAAAGACAGCCTTTTCTTTATACATTGAAACAGCTGGCATTAGCACCTTGTAAGATATATACAGTGGATGAAAAAGGTGATTGGATCTCAGCCTGTTATCCAATTTCAAACTCTTTGACTTTCATATAAAATAGCTAGATTAGACACTATACCATTTTAAATGTTAGTTTATCACTTTCCTCACAGTCTTTTTTTCTTCTACATACTGACCCACACAATTTCCTTTTCACGTTGTTCAAACCAGTTCAGAATAACTGCAGACGATAGTTCGGATTAAAGACTGCTAATGTTGCTCTGTGTCTCCTGGATTTATAAACAGGAAACTGTTGGCCAACACATTTGCCATATCAACCTTGTAAAGTCATATGTTAATGCTGTGCTTTAAGCTTGTTCTGATGCCTCTGAGTGGCTAAAATATTAGTTATCACATCTTTGAATAGGTGCAGACTAAAATTGCTAAATGTTAAAGTGTGGTGTTGAACAAGGCTGTTGTGGAACTTATACTTTTTTATACACTACTACTTGTGGCTAAAGAGGTAGAATAGGTCATCCACTATTCAGAAGGTCAGTGGTTCTATTCCCAGCTACTCCAGTCCACATGTCAGTGTCCTTGGGCAAGATACTGAACACCAAATATCCCCCAATGTAACAATGGTGTGTGAAAGTGTATGTAAAAGTATTTTGTGTGTACAAAAGTGTTTGAATGTGACTTATAGTGTAAAGTGCTTTCACTGGTCAATAAAACTAGAAAATATGCTATATAAGTGCAGTCCATTTACCATTTAAAATAACTGGCAAATCCATGATAAAATTGTGTAATTTCTTCAAACCCACTCTTCCACAGCCTCATACATATTTTTCTGTCTCAAAAGACCTTATTGTGTATTATTGCTAACTTACACTGACAAAAATATGACATTAGTTTAAAGATTATTCATGCTATACACCATAAAAACTGAACAGTATTTCCAAAAAGTCCCAATGACTCCCTGTTGATGTTATTACCATTCCACTTTGTGTTACACCTCATTTGTGAAACCAGAATAACAGATTGTCTACCTATATTGATAGCATAGTAACCCAGCGCTTACATGTACATGTACTGTATGTCTTTTGCTGTAGTGACAGTGAGGAACACACCGGGGTCAGCTGCAGTTCACTGTCCTTTTGAGGCCTTATGTGACAATAAAATACATGTACTATGTGCAACATTTCCTTAGTTGTGAGAGAGATGTGGAAATGATAAATGTGCTATAAAGCCAGGAATGCACAGGTACAGATATGGGCAGTTGTTAAAGGTTTATCTCACATGACTCAAACTCTCCTTTGAGATAGCCTGTATTATTAAAAGCATGGTGAGTACAAAATGTCCAACACTTCAGAGGGTTTTAATAGTTTTATAAGTTATTGATAAGAAATTTTGATATTATGTTGGAGTTTATAATAGAATCCAGTAAACGAGCAAGAATAGACAGGTATTTACAACAGAAGGTCTATAAAAAATATCACCTTTGCTTTTGTCATACTATCTCTGGCCTTGTGTTTATCTCTGTAATATTCTGATAAAAGTATATAGCACGACTTTGATTGTCAGGTGAAAGGAAAGGTGATAGAGTTGATTGTTCATTGAGGTTTGGAAATACAAATGTCATTCAAATGCAGTGTAGGTGGTCAATTGTAAAAGGTAAGGCTGGCATTATTCCATACTCAAGGTCCATTTACTTACTATTTTTAGAGCTTCCCTTGCTCAATGGCTAGAGTTTATTTATTTGTTCCATGACAAGTGAGCATCTCCTTCCACTGAGGAAGACCATGTGATATAAAGCTCATTAAAATGCTAGTAAAAAAAGCATAAATGAAAAGTGTATCACATGGTCTTTATGAGTGGATTGAGTTATAGAGATAAAGATGGTGTGATTTAGTTCTTCTGAAAAATCCAGTAAGAGTTGTTATTGTTTTGTCTTTCTTTCTCCAAAGTCAATAAATTAACTTTGATCCATAGTTTTAATGCCAATATAGAGGAAAGGTTAAGGATTAGTGTGGTCACATGGTTTCATTTCACTTAATGATCCAATATTTCATTCAAAATCAAGATTAGAGAAAAAGTCTAAAACTTGACAACTTATGTAGCTACTTTTTAAACGTAGGATTTTTCATGCAGGACTTTTACCTGTAATGGAGTATTTTTATATTGATGTGTTGATATTATAACTTGAGTAAAGGGTTTTTCCAATACTGTTGTCTTGCCATTCAGATTCATATCCTTTAATCTGTATAATATATCTCAGTACAGCAGCTATCATACCATTATTATCTAGCATTAGCTTTATTGCTATTTAGCTAGCTACAAATGAAACGCCTACACACAAAATGGCATTTTAGTGTTTACATATGACTACCGACCTTTGTATTGGACCTTGTTTTCCTCCTCCTAGTTTCCACCTTGCACACCTGAAGGATTGACTCAATCTCTTGATCCAATCTAGCATTGGGCTGATTGATGCACAATTGCAGATTAAACTGTACTGATCATCCCTAACTTTAAGTACTGTGTGTGTGGTACACAAGTGCACTGAGGAGCAGCAGTATTTATTCCATCATGTTCAACTTGTGACTGACAGTTTTTTTTATTGTTATGATTAAAAGGCCGTTTTTGTTGATAACCATGATGTTACCATTATGTCAATTATGTCATTATGCATATTCTCGCTCTCACCCGCACAATCTGCGCCCTTACCAACCGCTTGTGTCGCCTCTGCCACTAGCCAGCTCAGTTTGTAACCATGGCAGCCAGTTTCAGAAAACGGAAACTTTTCTGACAGACTGTAATGATGTGTTTAAGTACATTTAAAACTGTGAACTCTTCAGATCTGCTTACCAAAATTCAGAGCAAGCTACTGGGGTGAACTTATTTTCACGTTTGTGATATGGTCTGTACTTTTTGATAATATTTTCTATTGTCTAATGTAATTTCACTAAAACGTTAAAATACTTTATATGCAAATAATATGTTATGAGTACAATTTTCTAAGTTATGACTTTGCACCCCTTTAACAATCCACTGTATCACTAGTGAAGCACCATGTACTTGTACTTTTGAAATGTGCTGCATGAAAATTTACAACTTTAAGTCAACAACTGAGACAAAGATGAGAAATCTTATCTCTTAAACTTCCTCTTATCTCCACAGTCGGAGATTGCCTAGTGTCATATATAGGTTAACTGTATATCTCTACTATATTATATTGTGCCTGTGCTGGTTACGACTCTCATGTAATATCTTTCCGACAAACATGAAGGCAACATGGTGCCTCTCTAGTCACCATAGCAACAGGACGCCACACGGCAGGAAAAACACAATTTGTCGTTCATGACTATTCGCCAGTCTGTTTTCTTTAACCTAAATACATCGATATTTTTGAGCAGGTGAACCACAGTATCTGCTGACAGAACTACAAACAACAGGCTGTTACTGATAGCTAGTTTAGCTGGGCCGAAAATGCCTTTGTTAGTGACAGACTACTCATGGACACAGACCGACACGACGGTTTACATACATGTGCCTTTAAAAGGAGCGAAAGTTGGGAAAGTGGACATTGTATCTACAGACGAATACCTCAAGGTAAAGTTAGCTAACAACAGAACACGCTGTGGTCCATTCTTACTGGATCTTGGTGTCCCACAACACAACATCTTTTTAATAGATAAAGCTAACGTTATATATCCTGTTCTCTTCGTTTAGCTGTACCACATAAAATTTTACATTTCAATAACATTCAATGCTTACAACTGACCTACTCACAGCGCTGTACAATATAAAGTGTAAATACAATGACATAGGTCAAATTTAAATGTAAGATTCTCTATACAGTACCTTTGAACTGATCTCCCCTTTCTTTTCTGCACAGGTGCATTACCCACCGTATCTGTTTGAAGCCTTCCTGCTGAAACCTGTTGATGAGGACAGAAGTTCAGCAAAGGTTGGAAATGGAGTTGCTGTCATCACTTTGCCAAAGAGAACCAACAAAATATGGGAAAATCTGATGATAACCACAAGTAAGGGCATCTAGCTGATTTTCTGATCTTTGAATGACTCTGGGGTCACACATTGATCAATAAATAGTGCAATATCAATGATATGAATAAATACATTAAAACCAATCATTATTAGTAGTAGTAGTAATGTCTTTATTATTACTTCATATCGTATATCGTATTGCTATTATAGAAAAAAAGTATGAGAACTTTATCCTACCCTCATAATCTCAAAATTGTATTTCCCTTCATTGATTTAAGGTGTTTTACCTTATGGAAGAATGAATTCAACAACAAAAATCTATGTAATTATTAGTGGCTGGGAAATTATGGCTATCAAAATGCTCTTCAAGATTTTCAACAAATATTTAATCTACTTATTTTAAGAACTAATAAATGAACAGTTATTATCAGCTGCTACTGAACATATTGGATCACCTGATGTGCTCTGTCATCAGGTGGCACTTGTAGTTTAAGAACTGGGGGGGGGGGGCAGTAGTGACTTCAATGCTTCAGTGATTTGTAAGTGATGACCATTATCATATTTACCTGTGGACAAGGCAGCATTATTTATGTAATTTTCGTCTTCTTCCTCTTTGCTCCAATCATTCAGTTGAAAACACACTGGCTCCTCTGCAGCTATGATCTGGCCCTGTGTGGCATGTGTCCTAAGCTAAACCCATGATAAACACCTGAACAGAAAACATTCAGCTCTGTAAGCACAGCTCTGGTGCCACCCATGCTGGCCAGTATGGGTTTTTTTATATAAAAACATAAAATACATATACATGAGTGTTACAAAGATCAAATTTAGGGTTAATGGTATAGGACTTATGAATGATTTATAAATAATTAATAACTTGTTTGTTTTCTGAATAAACTGAAAATTGTCAAAATGGCCCATCACAATTTGTTTGTTCATTTTTACCAGCAATCTAAGACAAGTGCCTGGTATTATATCTCGATAAATGGTTTAAATGATTTATTATATTGATCATTTATTGATGATTGCGTAATCCATTAAATTGACTAATTGCTTGAACAATAATAAACTTAGGTCCCTAATCAGACCTGATTCAAAATGAGGTCAACATGGACAGACCCAAAAAGAGAGAGAACAGAGCAATGGCAGCAGCATGATGCTCCGCCAATTTCCAGCTGGAGCGATGATATCATAGTTCACTCTGTCTGTCAGCTTAAAAAAAAACACTTTTCCCCTGTGATGATGATGATCAGACATGATAGAGAAACTGTAGTCACCTGTATTTAACACCGGTTCTATGAGTACATGTGCAGCCCTCTAATGGACTTCGCTATTGGTTTAGCTGCTCTGCCTTGGCAACAGGGACAGATCTTTGCACTTACCATAAAATCATGAGGCAGCATTCACACGCTATGAGGCACCAGCCCAGTTCATCTCCCATTTGAACACACATGCATCCAGGTAAGTACCACTTCTATGTTGTGTGTTACACCTAACGGGCATCACTCTTGGTAACCCCCTGAAAGGAAGGCTGTTAGGGATGTGATGTAGTCAAATGTGGGTCTGAATCTGTACAACTAGCAACTACTGACTGGGTGAAAGAGTTTAAGTGGTCATTAAGCCATTGAGTACCAGCTCTCTAGGGGTTTCACAGCCTAACTTCGCTCCACCCACTACAGGGGTGCAACCTACTGCCGCATAGCTGAAGGAAATTGTATCTAATATCTAATGATCTAATGATATCTAATGACCTTGCTGAGCCACAAGGAGCATCCTGGGCTACCGGTCTGTGGCAGATGAGTCAGTCAGACCTCCTGAGGTTTGCTGTGTGGTCAACTCAACAGAAGGGACACAAGAAGGGTTAAAATGGCAGGTTGCTCAGTTCAACAAGGCTGTTACTTTTTCTTTCAAAAAATGGCCAATTTCAGATCTCAGACACATCTGAGAGGGAGTCTGTGCATCAGTTTCCAAAAAAAAAAAAACGCCCAAAACTCCAGGTGATTAAGCGCTCTTGATGGGATGAGATTGAACAGTTCTTACCACAGTACTCATCACATCACCCCTCAGGCCAGCTTCACAGTGCATTTTCAGTTACAGTTGCTGCTGTTTACTCCATTGTTTTCAAAGTATACACAGGGGCAGATGTGCTGCAGTAAGGACAGGGAGGGCGGCTGCGGCTGTGTTGAATGCACATGTGCCGTTGCCACAGAAAGTACAGTGACGGAAGTGATAGAGGAGCTGATTTAACAGGAAAACTTCTCCGTTCGATTATCTGTGGCCAGATAACCAAACTCTGAAGCTGATATTCCAGGAACCATAAACAACATTTATGATACTGATTAAGAAAACTTGTTAAATTAATTGGCAACTGCTCACTGTCTCACCCCACCTTAAATTCCTCTAACACAATATCTCCTGTGGAAGATTGGCTTCTCTGATTGTATCTGACTTTTCACTTTCTTTATACTAACACATCTGAGACAAGCAAAACCTTGTATAGAAACAACAATCTAGAGTGGTAGTGACACCTACTGTTCATAATAGGAACTAGAACTAAATTTTAACAGTAAACAGGCCAAATATAATTGTAATTTTAAAGTAACTCACAGGCTACACAGATGAAGATCTCAGGCTGCACATGACCCTCGAGCCATAGATAAGACACCCATATGTCGTGCTGTAAAGTTGTCAAACAGAAATCACCCAACTCTCAGCACAGAAGGGAAGACTGGTTCTAAGACAATTTTTTTATGTCTACTTTACTCAAATTTTCAAATATACATTATATAACTTTACATACAATTAATCTAACTTTATGAATCACTGTGTTTTAGATGACAAAGAAAAAAAGAAGGAGATCAGAGAAAGAGCTCTGTTGAAATACCAGGAAAAACTTTCTTCAGAGTCCAGATCCAAGGCAGAGAAACAGCGCGCAGAGAAAAAATATGCACTGGAGACAATGATGAAGGTAAAATCCTGTGAGACCACAATCTACTCATACATCACATCAGCAGGTAAACTGCTCTGCAAAGTGTAAGAATTTATATAAAGCATGTTTTGCTTGATTTCAGCTTGAAAAGGAGGAAAGAGAGAGTGTCCAGAAAATGAGGGACACCGAGCGAGAGAAAACCACAGCAGAGCTGGACGCATGGCAACTGAGACAGAAACAACAAGCAGAGGAAGAAGAACAAGTAAAACTCCACACACAGCGAGATAATCAAAACAGCCTGAAAGCCATAACAGAGAAGCAAGAAAAAAGATGCTCGGATGGAAGAAATGTCAAACTGGGTTTGTAACTTCCTGTCTGATCAAATTTGCTCCTTCTATTGTGATTGCACTATGAATCTCGATTTCAGTTGGAGTAATAATTTTTAGAAATGACGATGATGTGATTTTTATTGGGGCTTGTACCAAACAAACATGTTCTCTGATGTCTGGAGAATATGATTTGTAGGCTTCACAAAATGTTATGACACATTTTTTCTTTATCAAAACAATTACAGCTCCTGCAATTTTTTTGCAGCTGCTGCGAATTGGATACTGCACTTGGCCATATTGCAATTCCAATAATATTTCGATTAATTGTGCAGCCCTATTCTCTACTCATTGTTGGTTATGGTATGTCAGTGAACATATTCCTGTGTTTAGATCGAAGAGGCAGTGAAGCAAAGTGCAAGAAAAAACAGGCGGACCTGCCAGCTCTGAGACCTGCTGGAAACATTCAAGTTACATTTACCCCACGGGTTTTCCCAACAGCCCTCAGGGAATCAAGAGTGCAGGAGGAGGAAGAAGTGAGTCGTCAGTCTCTTTTTCTGTCACCTGCAGATTTTTCCCTTGTTGTTGTACAGCAGTGAGCAAAAAGTGGAAGGAGGAATCTTTAGAAGGAAGTACTCAAAACCTGCAGCACAGTCTCACTCACAGTCGCCCTGTTGACTCTAAAAAGATCAGCATCACCCTCTGGGAGTCACCCCAAGAGGATGAAAGACACAAGTAATACACAAGTAATGCTGTTGTGTAAACACATTTTTGCCACTGATACTAACCTCAGCTCAAGTGTGATACAATCTTCAAAAAGTTCACCAGTGTTAATTTAGAATAGACATCTTGTTGTGTCACTGGGAAAAGTGCACGTGGCTGGATTCCATTTAGCTGCTTCAGTTTCAGGTGTGTGCTGCCTCACTGTCACACTGTCGTGGTTTACTTGGACACTTGAATAGAGCAGAGACATTTTTATTATTAGCATTGTTACCATTTGTAACACTTTTCTGTGCTTTTCCTACTAAAACAAATGAAATGTCTGCACTGAACAAGGCCAAAAAATCTATATCTTAATCTCTAAAATCTTATCTAATGAGTGGAATTCGGTGCAGCCCGATTGTGAGACTACTAAAGGCCTAACTAAAGATATTTGTGTTTATGTTATTTTTTGCACTTTTTTAACAGTTGCAGTAAAACAGAAAAAAAACATATAATTTAGTTCCATGAATTACAAGGACTGAAACATAATAGTTCATTATTAATGCAGATTGTTGATAACTGAATGTCATTTACAGAATCTCTGATGACCTCTTTAAAGCCACATGTGCTCAGTGATGCTGTGCAAGAGACTAAATAGAGGCATTAATGGCATCATTTCATTCATTTCACAGAGAATGATTACTTTGTTTTCCAAATGAAAACAGACTTCCATATGAATTACATTATGAATGTGTGTAATTTAGGTTTATTCACCATCATATCTGTGCACCACTAAAGCTGCATTCAGAACAACTTGAGCCCTGTGTGATATAGACACTCATTTCTAAAGTATGTCACCCCTGGAATACTCAACTTTAACAAATGCATACAGAAAAACACATGCCAGATTCAAGCAGAATCTGTCCCCTGTGAAAATCAATCAGTAAATCAGGCCTGATGATCACAGATTTTGTTTTTATTTGAGCTAAATAAAAATGGTCTCTGTGCACAGAGATTCTTTTATGGGTCTAATGAAGAAATGTCCTTAATATGAAAATAACATTGTTGGTATCAAAGTTTTATCTACAGCTTAAACACATCATGTGCTTTGTGAGCGCGGTCACACTAAGTTTGCACTTTATATGTTTAAATCAACCAGTGGCTCCACAAACAAGCTGAAGCCAGACGTGCAGTCAATCCAGATGTTGAAGAGCTGAAGGACCTGACGGAGGAGAACATGAACCCTGACTGGTTAAAGGACAAAGGAGAGTAAGTGAAGTCTTGTCTCAAATCTATTTAACAGTGTTTATTTTTTTCTGACCCATGAGGTCACTAACCTGACTCTTTCAGCAAATGTTTTGCGACTGCGGACTACCTGAGTGCAGTCAACGCCTACAACCTGGCTATCAGGCTCAACAGAAAGATCCCAGCTCTGTACTCAAACAGGGCTGCATGTCACCTGAAGTTAAGAAATCTTCACAAGGCTGTTGAGGATTCCTCTCAGGTCTGTACTGTCTGTGTGTTTTTACATTATGTGTGTCCATCACAAGTTGTGTCTGCTCACTGCTGTGGAGGACACTGTTGTAATTTAGCATTTTCAAAATGAAACTTATACGTGTTTTAAACTTAATTTAATATGATTTTTAAATGACCCTCAAAGGATAAGTGAAATAGCTAATGGATGGATGGATGGATGGATGGATGGATGAATGAACATGCCTGACTTCCTGAGTAGAAAATCTCACCTGCAGGCACTTCTGATTTTATTTTTCCTAGATGAACATAGGACATGCACAAAGTTATAATCAAACTTAGAGAAGTGAAGCAGGAGTGTAGTGATGTCACTTCCTGTCAGCACCCCTGAACTGCTCACAGTGTTTTCGAGGGAGCTGAATGTCCAGTGCACTGTGTAGGTTTTGGTATTGTGGACACCATGGTGAATTCCTGTTTCCCTGACTAGTACAGTTCCTACTGTAGTAGAGGCAAATCAGAGTCTCTCTATTTCAGGCTGCAGTTAATGTGCACATTAGTGAACAGACCAGAAGTCACCCAGAATACTCAAACATCTCCACACAGTACCATGTTTTTTCAGTTTGTTTCAGTTTCTCCTGTATTACCACGTCTGACATGAGCTCTGCACACTTCAGGTTGTGAGTTAGGCTGATATCGAAGCTGTATTAATCTGTTATAATGCTTTTATGTAAAGTAGCAGGAAACATACAGTATGTCCACGTTTCTCTGCAGGCCCTTGATCTGCTGACTCCACCAGTTGCTGCTAATGCAGCTGCCAGAGCCAGAGCCCACGTCCGCCGAGGATCTGCTTTCTGCCAGCTACAGCTCTATGCAGAAGGTCAGCCAGTTTGTCTTTTTGCTTTGGTACACTGTTACTATTCAAGTTGAGATTTCACATTTTGTTTTCAGTGGTAATCTCACACTTTGTGTTGTTAAAATATAATGGTAGAGTAACAATACATCACCGCAGCATGTTTGTCAGGATGATGTCTTAATGGCTAAACAGGTGACTATGTCCACCTGCTCTGTGTTGTCTGATGTGTTTGTGTCATGTTTTCTCAGGGCTACAGGATTACCAAGCTGCTCTGAAGATTGACTGTCACAATGAAGCACTGCTGGCAGACACACAGAGGATACGAGACATTATTCAAGGCACTGCAGCTCACCCTGATACACAGTGAGGCACAGAAATATACACTGTACATATCATGTATAGCTTCTTATTGTTTGAGTTGTTTGTCTGTTACAAAATGATTTAATAAATGATAACAGAGAACCAGAGGCAGCTGCATGTCAGTAACAATACAGTCAAATACTATGTGAAATCCCTGCCGCAGTCAGTGTGAGACAGACCTGCTGCGAGTGCAAGGGAAACACGACACTATCTGTGTGTAGAGCGCCCTCATGTGGTCAAATGTTTCACCTCCTAAAATCAGCTGTTTCAGTGTCAGTGTGTTCATTTATACACAGTTACTAAAATAAAAATAGTCAACGTCAGTCTTTTAAAATTGCTGGCCTTAGTAGTGTTTTTTGTTCACATGAACATACATGAGGACTAGTTACTACAAACTTTTATCAGTGTATTTTCTGTCTGTTGAAAATATCTTGATACGGTGGTAATTTAGTACATGTTTACAGGTTTGTAATTTAAAACGTTTTTAGGGAGTAAATAAGGTGACAATAACCTTAGACTGTCTCCGATCCTTCTGCCAAAGAATCTCCATCTTAGAAAAGAAGGATGTAGCTCTGGCTTCAGCAATCAGCCAGGTCACTTTGGAACCTTGGCTGATGAAAATTCCTGCCTCGGCTAAAATCCTTGATACTTTTTCCATCAAAGGACCCATCAGTGTTTGTTGCTGAGGGACAGAAGAACACAGATCTAGACACAGTTTGTGGTGTGATCATCAGCTTTTATTAAGTTTCATCAGACTGACCACTCTACCCATCCTCACTCTACAGTATGATAATACGTCAGTTTCAGATTGAAGGGATTTGGAAAATGCCACTTTTCTTTGCAAACACAGACTTTCTGTGAAGGCCCTTTTTTGCTGTGAAGCTGAAGTGCAAATTGAGGTCAACTGATCAGACCGTGCAGCGGGTCAAGACCCAGAGCCACTGGGTCATGGGAAGGCCGGTGTGAGTTTCTAGACGATTCTGGAAGACGTGGTTGGTTTGGTGCTTTATTCTTACCTTGAAGCTCTGTTTTAGTTGCTGGTTCTAACATCATGTCCAGGCCTTCTCAAATTCCTTTAACATGACATAATACTGACTCATAACTCACAACACTGAGCGTACCAGCTTTAAAATATGGCTCCACAGAAAAGCAGATCAGAGCTCCAGTCCTGTGTGACTGTGAAGTAGCACTTGAAGATGTCGACCACACACCCTGCCCTCTGTCAGTCGACACAATTGAAATCTGTAAACACCCCGTAAAGCCGCTTTTCTAATTTTTTTTCTTCGACCAATTTTCTGTTTTCTTCTAATCTCCTAATCAAATGTGCCAAAAGCTTCCCAAAGAATTACAAATGGTTCAAATTCAGCGTCAGCAGAATGGGATCATTAAGAGGCTTTGATTTGTAGTGGAGCTGCATTGTGGCCGAGCAGTTCAAGTGAATGATTGTCAGTGAATGACTTCTCTAAAGCATTTGAAAAGAAACACAATTCCACCATGCATAGACAAGCGAGAACGTTGAAGTGTTATTACAAAAGATTAATGCGAGTGCTTGGAAATGAAGCAAATGGAGGTGTATACATGAACTCCTGCTGGAAACTCACTGGATGACTTCGCTTTGGGTTTTCGGTTTTGTGGTGAGAAAGTTCACATGACAGTTCATATACTTTCATTTTAGGATTTTGATTATGACCGAACCTGTTCTGTCAGTGTACTAGCATCTCATGATTAAATGTCTGCATCTTCCAGGCCTCAATTTTGAGTGTTGGACCACTGACCACACAGAGGTGTATATTTTCACAGGATAGACATTTTAAAGCTGCTCTCACGAATTATTAAGCCTCCTTGCATTCAGGTTGTCCGTCCGTCCCATTCCTGTGAAAGCGATATCTCAGTAACGCCTTGAAGGAACTTCTTCAAATTTGACACAAACATTCATTCGAAGGATGATCAAAACATGTTTTTTTTCCGTAACTCACAAATTCATTCACTAATTGTGACACAATTTAACTCAAATGACTCTAAGGATAAAATGAAGTGATGACAATTTATATCCCTTTTATATCCATATAAGCATTTGCCAGGAACATTACATTACAGTTACGGCTCATTACATCACTGAGGGAAGGATAAATCAGAAAGTCTTTAAAACAAAAGTCATCTGTACAAACAGGAGCAGTGGTGGCCGAGGATAAGGCTCAAAGTTACGGCTATCACATGGATAATACATCTAACATGGGTGTGGCAGTAAATACCTCAGTGGTAAATGGACAGTAAAGATCCAGGATGGGATCACTCTGAGTAAGAATCATCAGTCTGTGTATTAGTAGTAGAAAGATAAAGTTACAATATCGTTATTATTTGTGTGTGTTGCACTCAGAACTCACTGGACCCGAAGAGAAGCCTTAGTCAGAGCACGACCTTGTCCATCCAGGGAAAGACTTACAGAGAACTGGAGATGTGTAGGGACATGCCTTCTGACCTCTGACCCCTGCTCTCCTTTGCTGTCAGAGCTGGACCTCTCATACCTGTGTGTACAGGCCTCCTGTACCCCTCTGCTGCTGGAGATACAATCAGCCCAAAGAGATCACACATCCTTCCAGAAAAGGCCGACATGTTGATTTTTCAAATTTTTGTTAAATATTTAGCTATATTCATTTTTTTTTTTTCGGTTGTAATTTACATTATTAATTTATATAGTCTCGGTTTACAGTTGTTTTTGTTAATTGTCGCTCACAACAAAGAGTAATATTTATTTTAATAAATGAAGGGAATGAATGAAGAAACCTTCCTGTCACAGTTAACTGAATAAAGCCTAAAAATAAAAAATTAACAACATTTTTTAATCGGAACCGAGATTGGATATGAACCAGATTCGATGAGCAGAATCACAATTGATAAGATTGAAGCAATACCCAACTACAGCTACCACCAGACCCTCCTCCCTGCCATTACCCCCTAACACCAGCAAATTCCTCTTAAATAAACCTTTTTCTCTCCCCCACCCCTCTCTGTCCACGTCCTGCGTTTGAGTCCTCCTTGAGCTCTTAACACCTTCCTGTTATTCTGTGAGCTGCGTTTGATTGGCAGGTGGTCGGCCCTCCTGGCAGGGTGCTGGAGCTGACTTACTAGTACCATATGGAAGCTTTTATCCTGCCCGCTGACCAGGACACACACTGCTGCTCCAGGACACAACTCTTTAACCCATTTCACACACTTGAAGAAAAGTCAATCCCCATGTGTACATGTTCCTGCAGCATACGACAGCTCCTGGGGTCCAAAGTTAGGGGCCAGTTGGTCTCTACATGATTTTGTGGCTGTATTTGTCTGTCATTAAGATAAAGAAATATTTTATTTGAACTGTTTTTCATTAATATCACTGACATTATGCACCACAACATACTAAAAATGTCAGTTGAGAAGATTTATTTAATTTACATCTCACTGTGTCCACCACAGTATCTCTGTAGTCCAGGATGTGCTTAACAACAGAGTAGTTACATGGCCTGACTGCGATCAGAGAATCTTCTTTTCTCTTGATTTAATTTGTTTTTCTCTTTTCTTGCATCATTGAAATTCCATGATATATTATGGCCTTGTAAAGTTATTATTGCTAACATGAAGAAGAAAAAGAACATGTTATTTTCTGATTGTTCACAGCAGTTACATTCAAAACACAAATAAACATGCCACCACCTCCGCACCTCCACCTGCTCCTGTCTGCTGTGGCCTCTCTGCTCTGTGTGTGTGTGTGTGTGTGTGTGTGTGTGTGTGTGTGTGTGTGTGTGTGTGTGTGTGTGTGTGTGTGTGCCTGTGTAGCTCCGCCCCTGCCCTCAGTCAAATAGACACACAAACCTGCATCTCTTCATACATACATGCAGACACAGAGCATAGGAGAGTATGAGACAGCAAGGGCTTAACATCCACTGACCAAAAGCAGCAGCCCAGAAACATCCCGAACACAGCAAAATAAGAGGAAAATAAGAAAATAGATCTTTAAAATAAATCTTTCATTATCTATTTCCATGTCTTTATTTTCCAACAACACATCTTGTTAAATAGAGTAATTCCTTTAAATGTGATGTTCATCCACAGTGAGAAACTTGCTGCGCTAAATCATGGAGAACTGAATGTGGTCAGTGAACAGAAAGAATTCTCACAGGCCAGGTTTACATTGCAGCTTTAACTTTAGTTATTTTTTCCATGTACTGTTAAACAAAATTAATTCTTGTCAGTGGGAAGAACAAATAAGCTGCACAAGTTGCACTCAGACCTGGACCATCCTCCCTCCTTCCTCCTTCTTCTTCCCTCTCTTTCTGCCCAGCTGAATAACCACTAAAGGTAAATTAGATCATAATGACCCTGCACCATTCATACAAAACCTGATTAGATACGCAACCCTCTGCTTAATGAGCTGAAAAACTGCTGTGTGTGTGTGACTGTGTGTGTGTGTGTGTGACTGTGTGTGACTGTGTGTGTGTGTGTGTGTGTGTGTGTGTGTGTGTGTGTGTGTGTGTGTGTGTGAAATGTCTGTATTTTGCTCCTTCAGTGTCAGTTCTGTGTGGTATCTTCCAACACACAGACAACACTAGTGACTCTGTTTTGGTCTCCACCAACTTGTAAACTAAAGTGTTTCCTCATCTCTCTCCTGTCTGGAGTCTGGATCTGTGATTCCCTCTCTCAACCCAACTGGTCAAGGCCAAGCATCAAACTCAGGGGCTGAAAAATGAAGCTAACACTGAAATACCAAAAACTGCAGTTCCTCTAATGACCACAAGAGTCTGGCTCCAACAGTGAGTCAGTCTCCATAGACTCCCATGTTAAAATGTCCAACGAAGAAAAATGTCCAGGAGAAATAAACATGTTTACAGCCCGGTACAAAAACAGTTTTGGTCTCTAGAGCTAATTTCCTCCTTCATGACAACTGTAACTATAACTCACCTGTTTCATTAAGGCTTAAAGTTAAGTATAATTGAGGACGTGGCCTCTTTGAGTGACAGGTCGGTGAGTGTATGTTTGCCACAAACCAGCATGCAAGTCTCAGTTCCACACACGTCCCTTCTCTTCGTCTTTGTTTAGGGGTGGAGTCAGGCACTGCCACGATGGTGATGGTGGAGCAGCTCACTCTGAGCTTCAAAACTGTTCTTCAGAAATCTGTGGGTCACAGAGGCTACATCCTTTATTTACAGTCTATGTTCAAGGCAAACACCCATCCACCCTGAGCT